TCTTCTTTCCTCAGAATGTACCAAACTGTTGATTTGACTACTCTAATTTGACTACTCCTAATGTTGCTGCTATCTCTCTGATGGATTTGTTTAATTTTTGGAGTCTTACAATGGCCTGTTTCACTTGCATGGACAGCTCTTTTGAACGCATGATGTAGGTTCACAGCAAGAGATTCAAAATGCAAATACCTCACTTAGAAACAACACCAGACCTTTTACCTGCTTAATTGGTGAAGAAATAACGAAGGAGTAGCCCACACCTGGCCATGAAACCGTTTTTGATTCAATTGTCCAATTACTTATGGTCCCTTGAATAAGGGGGGGATGGCTACTCTTAAGGGTTGTAATTCCCAAACCCTTCCTCCAATTTGAATTTACATGCCCTCAAATTAAACCTGAGAGTGTGCACTTTCAGCCCATATCCATTATAGAACTATAGCTTGAATATGTTTTGGGAAATACCTGGAAAAAACTAAAATTGTGCCTGTGTCCAAATATATATTGACCTAACTGTACACTAGTGAAGATTCACTGAACTTGCAGAAAAGGACAAAGCGATCTTCACTTCAATGTACCAATCATGGCCTGGGAAAAGATTTTTTTTTTTTAATTTCTTACACATGATTGGTTATTCAAAGTGAACACAGGCTCATCCTTTTCATTGTCATTTATTTTTCCAAGTGAACAGTCTCTATTACTTTAGTAAATAAATCCCCTTGTCCATAGACAGGCTGAATGCACAGAGAAGCCATGCTTGCCTGGGCCTGTGATAACGGCTCTCAAAGCACAGGGAATGAAAAGGCAGCAGCAACAGGTTATATTTGCAAAGCTGCTTGGTATCCCTGGATACCTCAAGAGAGCAAATGTATTTTAAAAGCAGTTATCTTTCAAACATTTCTTTCTCACAGCAGATGATTTTACCAACTTTTAGTGACTGATAAATTAGAACATTAATTGACATTAATTGATAGAAAACAGATGGAAAAAAAAAAAAAACAAAAAAAAACATACAACAGGCCTACTGGTGACTGTATGCAAAGAGATTTTCTTGCCTAGTAAGCTTTTTCTAATCTAGTAAAATAAACTAAAAATGATGTCATCCAAAGTTACTGAGGATTCACTATAGTGTTGGTTTTTAACCACTATTTAAAAAGAGAATGAAAACAGATAAAAACGGAACTTATTATTTATTACAGGTACTTATATAGTGCCATCAATTTACGCAGCACTTTACATATATATATATTTGTACATTCACATCAGTCCCTAACCCTCAAAGGGTGTACAATCTAAGGTCTTTAATGCACATTCATACATACATACTAGGGCCAATTTAGACAGGAGACAATTCATCTACCAGCATGTCTTCTGAGTGTGGGAGAAAACCAGAGTAGCCGGAGGAAACTCACGCAGGCACAGGGAGAACATGCAAACTCTAGGCAGATAGTGCTGAGGTTGGGATTTGAACCAACAATTGGCCCCAAACCTGGGCAATGAAAAAACAACAGATGTTGCACTTATTGAAAACCTTGCATTAAAATGATCAGTAGATCTAGAGATATAGATACCTGTAAATATCTGCAGCTTGCAATATTCCCTGTAAAGTCAAGTTTGACCCCAGCACTTCTGCCTCCTTAGCTTCTCTACTGATTTTGATGGGAAATCTCAGCAAAAAAAAAAAAAAAAAGCAACCTGAGGGGTGGGGAGAGGGCAGAGGCACGTTCAACAGGAAACTTTACAGGCAATACAAACCTGCCTTCCTGCACTTTGTGACTTTCACCTGCGTTGTGCATTGAGGATGTTGCACAGCCTATAAAAGCTCTACATTCTTGGGTCAGAAATTTCTGTTTCTACTCAAACATGAGACATGCAGCACTGTATTGCACAGGTTAAAGGGGTTCTAGGGGCTCATGTACATGAGCAGCTGCTAAAATCGAGTTTAGGAGCTTTTGGCATTTTTTTGTCAAAGCTCCTAAACTCAACTCCATAATAGCCTGTGTCCATGAACACATAGGCTTTTAGCAGAGTTTAGCAGCTTCCGCATTTAGGTGAGGCTAAACGTCCCTCTCCTGAACGCAGAATAGCATTCAGGATAGGAAAGTTTTGACTGCTGGTCACGGGAAAACTAAAAAAGGGGGGCAAAACTGCAACACCGAGATTTTGCTGCGTTTTGCGGTTTCCCGCAGCCAGCGGTAAGAGTAGGCTTGTGTACATGGAGCCTAAAGGCTGAAGGTTAAAAAACCTTCTATGCGAACAGCCCCCCTGGCTCCCCCCCCTAACACTTACCTGAGCCCCGTCCTGATCCAGCAATGTCCACGAGAGCCTCAGTTCTCCAGGGACTCTCACTACTGATTGGATAAGGCTCCCGCTGATGTCAATCACAGCCAGTGAGCCAATCAGAGAGGAAGGGGGTGGGGCCGACCCACGGCTTAGTGTGAATAGGCACACAGAGCTGCGGCTCGGTGCGAACCTGCTTGGGTGCCCCCATAGCAAGATGCTTGCTATGGGGGAGGGGTCAGGAGAGCCGGCTGGGGACCCGGGAAGAGGAGGGTCTGGGCTGCTCTGTACAAAACGACTGCACAGAGCAAATAAGTATGACGTGTTTTTATAAAAAAAAAAAAAAGAAAAAAAAAAGACAAGACTTTAGTATCACTTTATTACATCCTCTTGTCTGTAGTTTGAGAACTGACATCTCCTGTGAAGAAACCACATATCCCACAATCCCTGAATCTCTCAGTCTAGTGATCTGTAGATCAGAGTTAAACAGTAGTGAAATCACACACAGACACAGACAGGCAGAGCAATTACCAGAGAGATCACAACATTTGTGCTGCAACACAGAGGAAATTGCAAGGCATGCACTGGACATTGTGTTACCCAGAACAAGACGCTACCTGTCCCTTTGATGAATAGGGACAAGCAAGGAGTTTAATACATGGACACAAGAATATTGGTCACCCATGATACCACAAACTTCAGCCACAACATATGAGTCAATCATTACCAGGTAAGGCAAACAAACAACACAGGGCCTTTAACTACACTAAAGTTGCTCATAGGAGAGTTGAAATTGGCTGAATTTCAATCCATCTATGGGCAGGCTGGTTGTACTGAAGTTGATCAATCGATCGACTTTGGTACAACCAGCCAGTCATTGTTCTCTGCTCAGAGGGGCAAGGAGAACTGAGTGATCAGCAGTGTCCGATTGCTCAGTTCTCACCCTTAGAGTCAGTGGGGGGTGCTGCATTCACCTAGGTAATTTAAAAAAAAAAAAAAAAAAAAAAAAAATATATCTTGAGCAAATTACTTTCCATCAACCCTTGGTTGAAGGAAAGCCTGCGTAATACCTAGTAAAAACAATGAAATCATTTGATTTGAAAGTTTCCAATTCCTTTAAGATTTGCATCTAATTTCATCTGCCTATTTATCTGTATCTCCTGATCCTGATGTCATTTCTACTGATGTGTTTTCTAGCATTTGCTCAGTTCAAATTCCCATGGCTTGTGACACCAAAAAATAAAAAAAACCCTAAGATCACAAAACAGAAACATTTACTGCTCTTACCTACTTGTCATTCAATGAAGGTTAGCGAATCTGTTGTCCATTGCCTGACAACCTACAAATTTTCTTTCCTTGTCCTCCATTACAGCAGGCACATAGGTTACGCAAATCATGGTAACAAGAGTTTGCTATAAAAATAGGGGACGCCAGAAAAGATAACCTGGACTTCCTTCCATTACTGCATGCTTGTACTGGATCTGTGACCCCAGCAACCGCTAAAAAAAAAAAAAAAAAAAGTAGACCAGTATGGCAGCCAGAAAATTAGCATTTTCAGAAGGATGTCCGCAACAGCACCCTCCAGATTTGTTTTGTGATTTATCTCAATATTTGTGAAGCTTCTTCCTCATTATCAGTGAGAGTAATAAGAAGAAATTGTAGACCCTGTGAAATCCACTATTACATCTACATTACAAAACACGGATGTTATTTATGCAAATAATAAATAATTAGGTCAGTAAGAAGTTTATTTATTCAACACAACATTTATGCATTCGCATGGAAAAAAACACGCATGATAAAGAGCCCTGCAAGCATTGCCAGACAGAACCAAACAGCTGCTGGGAAATAAGATCCTAATCACCGGGTTCCCAGGAAATAGATCCCCAAACTGGTCTCCAGCGAATGGAAATCAATCTCGATGGTAGTATGACATTATCCAATAATTATACCATTCATTGACCAACCGCGGGTCATATACAACAGGTAGTTCTAGAACTAGAACACCCACCTGCAATATATATATCACTTGAAGCCAAATCCAAATTTACCGTGAGAGTAAGTCTCAACAGCCAGCTGCTTTAAATCTGTCTATACCCTGCTGGTAATTGCATTCCACAACAGCTGGAGAGCCACAGCCTGGCCTCTGTCACATATGAGTGATGAAAGTTGGAGAACTGTAACATCAAGCTATGCTTAAAACCCTTCTCCCCCCCCCCCCCCCCAGCATTTATTTCTTTACAAAATGTCTATATACATACCACAGTTATATAAAAGTTTATGTAGGGAGGTAAGGGGAGGGGCAGAGGAGCTGGATCAGCATAGTAGGTAATTAGACACTCCCAGAAGAGGAGAGGGCTGTGACATGCAAGGAAGGGGGGCTGTGCTAGAGAACAGTCTCTTCCTGGAGAAGCAACATTTTCTAGCAAGTTCAAAGGCACATTTGTAAGTGAATAAACAAAATTTAAAATTAAAAATTGTTGATTGTTCTGTGTTATTACCTGCAACTTAAGTTGGTGGCAGGATCTCCATAAAGTGTTACTAAACCCACAACAGTAAAATCAGTCTGTATATGCAGTAAAGCATGCTTGTTATACTCACTGTGGAATCTAAGGGGTTAATCATCTGCATTCTGTAAAAAGGCTGTTTGATCCTGACTTCTCTGCCCCTCCTCTTGTTCAGATGTCCACCTGATAACACAGACAACCCGTAGCCACATGCACATGCTCAGTTTAGTGTGTATTGCTAGAGAGGTTTTTTGTTTTCTTGGGAGAGTGCATGTGATCAGCACAGGGCCAATCAGCACTGTCCAGACAGAGGTCAGGCGTTCTGCATCCTGCTGGAGCAAAATGAAAACTCCTCCTACAAGCTTTAACCATTGGTCTGCTGAAGTCACAAGACTGCTCTAACTACTGATGAGAAAAGGTATTTAGCAGTTTATATTTACTAAAATAATTGCATTTCCATGTTGTGTGTACTGTGGGAAACCAGATATAATGAATGCAGGGTTTAGTAACACTTTAAGATGCGGTGTCATGCTATATGAAATATAAATTTGCTTTAAAGAAAAAGACGCGGCAGACGCACAGTCTACACTAGTGTTAAAGTGTAATTCCATTCAAATACTAAGTCTTAACCTATGCCCACCCCCCATTCTAAGCCTATTCCACCTACCCTGTAATGTAAAGTCTACACTTACCTATGCTGAGGGTGCTCTGGTCCAATCACATGATCTCTGCAGCAGCCATCTTTAGTATAGAGGAGAGATCACAAACAATGGCTGCATAATCTATACAGTGATCACACCCATAGGCTTACTATGGGGCATCTGTTGTCAGCACTGAGCCCCAATCATGTGACCAAACCAGAGCAGCATCAGCACAGGCAAGTATAGACTTCCTTCCTTTACAGGGTAGATAGAGTAGGATTAGAATGGGGGGAGGAACACATTTAGGCTTAGTTAGTATTCACCTGGAATTCTACTTTAACTTATATTGCTGGGCACCCTTATGCCAAGAAGGTACTTAGAGGATCAGTGTTCAGGGAGGATCAGTGTGCTGCTGTTCTTTCACTGTCCAATCAACATGCTTGAGGAAGGTCCCTCACCAAGCTGTATTGTTTAGGTGCAATGTAGACTGCAGGGAAGTCACAGTACTGTCTACATTGTCTGACAACGGTGACTGGATATAGCAGATCATCTAGAACAGGGGGTCTCCAAACTTTCTAAATAAAGGACCAGATTATTGTCCTTCAGACTTTAGGGGGGGTGGACTGTAGCCAGTAGGAGAAGCAAGTGTTCTGGTGTCAGTGGAGTAAACAAACGCCCCACTATTAGTATTGGGGGAGTAATAGAGGCCCTACATTGGTATCAGTGGGGGGAATAGTGGTCTATATTGATATCAGTAGGAGGAATGGTGCCCCATGATTAGTATTGGGGGAGGAATAGTGTCCCATCATTGGTATCAGTGGGGGGAATAGTGGTCTATATTGATATCAGTAGGAGGAAATGGTGCCCCATGATTAGTATTGGGGGAGGAATAGTGTCCCATCATTGGTATCAGTGGGGAAATAGTGCCCCATCATTGGTATCAGGGGGAGCAATAATGCCCCATCATTCCGTGCCCCCCCCCCATCCTTTCCATTCACTACCAACAACCCCATCATCCCGGTATCAGTAAGAGGAATAGTGCCCCATCATTGGTATCAGTAAGAGGAATAGTGCCCCATCATTGGTATCAGTGGGGGGAATCGTGCCTCATGGTGTAAGTGGGAGGAATGGTTCCCCATCATTGGTATCAGTGGGGGGAATAGTGCCCCATGGTGTAAGTGGGAGGAATGGTGCCCCATCATTGGTATCAGTGGGGGGGAATAGTGCCCCATGGTGTAAGTGGGAGGAATGGTGCCCCATCATTGGTGTCAGTGGGAGGAATAGTGCACCATCATTGGTGTCAGCGAGAGGATTAGTGCCCCATCATTGGTGTCAGCGGGAGGAATAGTGCCCCATCATTGGTGTCTGTGGGAGGATTAATGCTCCATTATTGGTATCATTGGGAGGAATAGTTCCCCATCATTGGTGTCATTGGGAGGAATAGTTCCCCATCATTGGTGTTAGTGGGAGGAATAGTGCACTATCATTAGTATTTAATGGGAGGACTAGTGCTCCATCATTAGTATCAATGGGAGGAATAATGTCCCATCACTGGTATCTATGGGAGGAATAGTGTCTCATCATTGACATCAGTGGGAGGAATAGTGCCATATCATTGGTGTCAGTGGGAGGAACAGTGTTGCATCATTGGTGTCAGTGGGAGGAATAGTGTCCCATTATTGATGTCAGTGGGAGGAATAGTGTCCCATTGTCAATGTCAGGAACTACAGTATCCCCCACTGTTCCTGACAGTGTGTGGGAAATAGTGACCCAAGGGCCGGATAAAACCAAGCAAAGGGCCACAGTTTGGAGACCACTGATCTAGAAGTATACTATATGTGTGAAGACGTACTACTTCCTCCTTAATACAAGCCATGCAGCTTTCAAGAGGTCATCCTGATGAAGAAAGAAAAGATTTCTGAAGGACCCTTCTATACAATGAAGGTGTTTCCCTGCCACAGTCCAGGAATAATAAATACAGGACAAAATCCATTTCTAAAACCCTAATATCTGCACACTTTAACTTAGATGCTATTCCTGGTGAAATCCTGGCCACTTTTTAATCATTCCAATCCATCAGTTGAAATTAAAGGTGAACTCCAGCCATAGTTAAAGTAAATCCATACATTCAGTTGCTGTCTTTGGTGGAACCGTCTTCCCGACTCTTGGCTAAAAGTCACATTCCTATTTCAACTGAGGGGTGGAGCCACTCTGTCCATCCAATCAGAGCTCACCAGATAAATGCCAATGAAGCATAAGGAGGATCCGGCCTACATCTGAAAGCCAGGAAGACCATGTCACCAAGAACAGAAAGGGGGCAACTGGTTTTACACCAAATATGTAAATTGTTGAAACAATATTCAGTTATAGTCAACATTCAATTTCAGGACTGACTCTTGGAAAACGTTACTGGTTCCTGCTACTAAAAATATGCAAACAAAACCCTTTTAAATGGTTACATCACGGATTTTCTTGCTGTCACATTTGTATACATAACCAACTGAACAAATAAAGGCAATTCTGCCAGAATAACACACATATACAAAGAGACTCTTAAAACTTTTTCTGTTGATGACAAAACAAGGAGAAAACCAGTGCCCACAGAAATCATCCAAAGTTCCATTTATTGGTATTCATACTAAACAAACATCTGAATAGAGCTGCAACACATGGAGCTTTGCATTAAACGTGTACTACAAAGAGGTACTGACCCGAACCAACCAGGCCTACAATGTTGACATCTCAAGCTTCATTCATGATAACCCCACCAAGGGTTTATTCTAGTGTAAAAGATGCAAACATATACGCTGTACCATTTGACATTTTAAAGCAGATCTCCAAGTTGAAAATTGTTTATTTAAATGTATTCCTCAATAACCACAAAGGATCTAAATCCACTTGTTGTGGAACAACAAACCTAGATATTACCTTCTAAAAGTAGTGGTGACATCATCATTATGCTGTATATAGCCTGTGCGGAAAGCAGAGCTGTGGGAGGGACCGAGCAGGTTGTCCCACTACAGACTACAAAAAGCTATAGGGTGGGCGGATACAAGACAAGTCTATTACAGGAAGCTTCTGCACAGAGACCAAAGATGTTGGTTAACCTCTTCACGCTGGGTGAATGCAAATGTGCGGCCTCCAGGCGTCTGGGCCTAGACACCGAGAGGCCGCACATTTGCGGTCTATTAAAAAAGAACATATATGCTGAGAGCGCGCGCCCTGCGCGCGCTCCCAGCACACATGTCCGGTACTCACGGAGAGGCCCCGATCTCCTCTTTCGATCGGGACCTTTCCCGATCATGTGACCGCCGTGACACGGCGGTCACATGACCCTAAACCCTGCTCCGCCTCCCAGCTTCTGAAACCCTTAAAGGCTTGGGAGGCGCCAGCGTGAAGGGGTTAAAAGCCCTCTGTGATGTCCAGAAACTAAGGAATGAGGGCAACTATGAGGTTATATCCCAATAGTATTTGGTCCGAGTCAGGTTGTCCAAGATGTATAAGGGAGCACCCTCTCCGTGTTTTTGAGGTCAGAAGGGCTCTATGTTTCAAACATGGTGGACCTGTCCCAAGGAGGCTTTGAATGAGGCTAGGTTCAAATCTATTCAGGTTGTGGTTGATACGTTTTTCCGGAGCATTTTGAAACATGCGTTTTTGCTGCGTTTTGTGATCTTGTTTAGCTAGTAGGAAAGTATGACAGTTATGTTCATGTGATGAAACTTTGATGCGCCTTTACACTCTCTGGCACTCTAGTAGCATCAAATTTGCATCAAAGTAGTGCAGGAACCTTTATGTGTCCAAAGTTGCATGTGCTAGAGTTAAGGTTAAAATATTAGGTTTGGATTAAGGGAGAAGGGTTAAATATCAGGGTTAAGGGCTAGGGCTAAATGTAAGGTTTGGGGTTAAGGGAGAAGGATTAGGGTTAAATGTTAGGGTTAAGGGCTAGGGTTAGGGTGAAGAGTAGCCCTTAAAGTGTTATTAAACCCACAACAGTGAAATCAGTCTGTATATGCAGTAAAGCATGCTTGGTATACTCACTGTGGAACATAAGGGGTTAATCGTCTGCAATGTTTAAAAAATGCTGTTTGATCCTGACTTCTCTGATCCTCCCCTTCTTCCAGTGTCTCCCTCTTATCTCCTAATAAGACATATCGTGTAGAGACACTCTGCACATGCTCAGTTTAGTTTGTATTGCTAGAGAGGGTTTTTTTTCCTTGGGAGAGTGCAGGTGATCAGCACAGGGTCAATCAGCACTGTCCAGACAGAGGTCAGGGGTTTTGCATCCTCCTAGAGCAGAAAGAAAACTCCTCCTACAAGCTTTAACATGTGCTCTGCTGGGCACTGATAGACGTCACAAGACTGCTCTAACTGCTGATGTGAAAAGGTATTTAGCAGTTTATATTTACTAAAATAATTGCATTTCCATGTTCTGTGTTCTGTGGGAGACCAGATATAGTGAACGCAGGGTCCTGGGTTTAAGAACATTTAACCCTAAACCTACCATGTGACTTTGGACACATAAACGTTCCTACACTACTTTGATGCTAATTGCGTGCCAGAGAGTGTAAAGTCGCACTACATGAACAGAACTGTCATACTTTTCTAATTAGCAAAAAAAAAATAAAATAAATGCAACATGCATCAAAAACACAACACTTGCATTTTTGGTGCTGGTCCATTGAAGTCACTGACCCTTTCCAAAAAAATGCACCAGTTCAAAACGCACATATGTGAACTAAACCCATAGGAAAATATTTTAAATGGACCGTAGTGTTTCTGCAAACTGGAAAATACACTGAAATCCGCACAAGTGTGAACCTAGGGTGAGGGTGCACGCACACATTTTCTCGGTTACGATGATTAACATTCCCAGAAAGGCAGATTGCACTTTTGCATGAACCTGTTCCCGATGTTCCAAACATACACAAACCTTGATCTTTTACATGTTTTTGGCCGGCCAAAATATCCATAGCAACTGCCTCGAAGTCCCGGAGGTGGGCATAAAACTGTCATGAAGCGGAAACTCATATGAATTATGTTAAATGGAAAAATGGTGAGCCTGGTTCAGGACAAACAATCTAGGTTCAAGAGGGTGTGGAACCCATGGCTTCTCTATTTACAGGTATCACCAACATGAATGGTGCCTGTGGCGCAGGGATGGAGGGATCTCAGTTGGATTTCTGATTCTTTTCTCTGTTTTTGTTCTGTTTTTATTTATCTGCCACTGTGATATAAATTTTCTCTACACTGGATATCAATGTCATTTTGTTGGATCTCTTTGTGTGACCCAGCAATGTCTGCAAGACTGTTGAGGTTGTCTCATAACTTCTGAAGCGGGAGTGGGACTTGTCCCCCCTTTTTTCCACCTTACAGTTATTGATTTTTTTTATTTGCCATGTCTGACCGATGATGGTTTATAGATTACCTTTTTGTCTTTGGGTTGTTATTGTTTATATCCTCTACATATGTTGATGTACCAATGACATTGTGAGGAACATGTCACATATGACTTTCTTTTTTATGATGTTTAACTTGAAAATCTTCAAAAAGAAATGTATTGAAATTAAAAGCCCCCTGTGATTTTTTTGGCCTATTGATAATATTTCCCATGATTTCCTGTCCTGAAGACACAACAGAAAGTGAGCAGAAATCTTTCCAAAAATATTCCGCATTAGATACACTTTTAGGGCTTATTTATTATTTAAATAAGCCAAAATCTAAACAATATTACGATGTTAGACAGGCAACGCGTTCGCGATCAATCACCAGCGGCAGACTACTTCCATTAATATCTATGGAATTGCACCCCCTGGCCCCAAATACTACCAAATCATTATTGCTAGCAATGGGATGGACATCAGCTGTCTCAACTAGCGAGGGAGGAATTCCATAAAGGCAGACCGTAACTTAGCAATCCTGCCGCTGGCAACTTGTCATTAGTGTCAGAGTCTCCCATTTGACAACAAGCTTTCAGTGTTTTTTTCCATTTTGGGCAGCGTAAAGGAGGATTATAACCCGTGAGGTTTTTTTTTTTGCCATCTGTGTCCCATCGTGGAGATTTCTGCTCACTTCCTGTCCCATAGCCAAAACAGGAAGTGAGGAAATCCCCCCAAACTGAGGGAATCTCGGGGTGTCACCAGGGTCCCCACTGAAGATTTCCCCTCTATTCTTGTTCTGACGTCAACCCAAAATTTGGGATATACTTTTACTTTCACTTGTGAGGATACTAGTAAACAGAACAAATCTCCCTAAAGGTGACACAGACAGCAAAAAAACTGACAAGGGTTCCAACTCCACTCTATCCAAAACTAAAAAAAGTTTTGTCTTTAGTTACAATTTCAGGTGATTGACTCGGCCATAGTCTCTCCAGGTTTATGGCGGTGTCAGATACATTTTTATTTGATTATTTCCACAATCAAAATACAGTACAAATGAGTAGAAAACGGTTTAGTGTTGCTTAATGTATAATAAATCTGTCAGAATTCAGACCTCTAGAAGAACAGAGGATTTATTATGGACATTCGTCCAAACATCGGTCATATGATAGGAATAAATGAGGCAGGCAGTACGAGGAAAGGATGGGTGCAGGTTAGACAACATTCCATGGAGGGCAGAGGAGACAATGCTGGCACAGCAGCTGCACATACTGCCAATGCTAAGTCTGCAGAGTGTGAAATTCGGCTGAGGAAGGCTTGAAATAAAGGGCACAGCTTATATACTTCAACAGGACATTTCCAAAGCCTCAAATTAAGAGGTTGCTTGGTTTTAATTATTATTCTTATACAGGATTTATATACCACCAACAGTTTGCGCAGCTCTTTACGAAATGAAGGCAGACATTACAGTTACAATACAATTTGGTACAAGAGGAAACAGAGGGCCCTGCTCAATAGAGCTTACAATCTAGGAGAGGGCTTACAGTCTAGGAAAGCCGTATAAACCCTGGTTCACACCGCTGCGACTTCAGGTGTGACATGTGACTTACAAATCGCACCTGAAGTTGCATCTAATGTATTTCTATGGCACTATCTTAATAGGTGCGATTTCAAATAGTGCCTGCATTACATTCACATCTTCAGTGCGATTTAACTCTCATAGGCTATAAGGTAAATGGCACTGAAATCGCACCTGTGTCTATATCAGTACTACTTTGAAGTCGTGCTTTAAATGGGATAAAATCGCACCACTTTGAAATCACATATGGTGTGAACCAGGGCTTAAAGTGTTACTAAATCCAGGACCCTGCATTCACTATATCCAGTCTCCCACAGTACACAGAACATGGAAATGCAAATATTTAAGAAAATATAAACTGTTAAATACCTTTTCTCATCAGTAGTTAGAGCAGTCTTGTGACTTCTATCAGTGTCCAGCTGAGCACTGGTTAATCTTGTAGGAGGAGTTTTCATTCTCTTCTGACTGTCCTATGAGGCTGTATAACCCCTGATCCTCTCTCTGGACAGTGCTTATTGGCCCTGTGCTGATCACATGAATTCTCCCAAAGAGAAAGAACACTCTACGATACACACTAAACTGATCATATGCAGAGTGACTTGTAGAGCTCTGTACTATTAGAACATGGATTGGGGATAAAGAAGGAACTTGGAAATGTGGAAAACTGAGAAATATAGGTATTAAAGGTACTTTTCTGTGTTAAGTCTGGTTTAAAAAAAAAAAATCTATTCAGATATGTAGTCTTAAGTCAAAAGAAGAAAAAATAAAATGAGAGCTTCTGGTTTATACTTTGCATCAAGGCCTGGCTCTGTTAATCTGATCAACTGCAGGTTAAAGAGGTATTAAACCCAAAAGCAAACTTTCATTGTACTGCAGCTTACCAATTCTGTGATGTGATGGCTTTCTGTATTTTCATCTGGTGATATGCCAAGTAAGTCTGTGATTTTTCAGAAAAGCAAGCTCTGTTGCAGATGTATCAGTTTCCAGGGACGAGACAAACCATTTACCACTGACAGGGGTGCTTACAACTATCAGCTGGTATTTATGTAAAACCTTTATTCCAAAAGGCAAAAAAACTATTTGCTGTAACAGCTGATAAAGTGTTATCTGGAGTTTGGCTTCAAATCTGTTAGGACATCTAATACTTCCTTACCCTAGATTCACAATGCTGCTGTCCAAAAGGTGCCCCCTGTGCCCCTTCATCCAGAGTGAGAGAACTCAAAGGCTAGGTTCACATATGTGCGGATGGTGCGACTGCAGATCCGCATGAAAATCTGTGCAGACCGCACAGAGGAATGGTTCTAATGGCATGCCGCCCGCACTTTAAAATGCAACTGTACTGGGAACCGAGGTTCCTGTGTGGGCTGCGTTTTCAGAAGAAGTGCAGGGACATCTTCTCTGCGTGTCACGGGGCACAGGAGTCCATTCAAATGAATGGGCTCTCGTACCCGCGCAAAACGCGGCCTGCATGGCCACATGTATGTGAGCTGGGGGTAATACAGGAGATGTGCTACTGGCCAGATCACCAGGTGAAAACAGAAGGAAAAAAGCCTAAGGGTCCGTTCACACCAGAATGCAGTGTGGGAAACCAATTTTCCGTGTGTGTGTGTTGTGTGTGTACAAAGCGTACTGCACTTTCAATCTGCAGCGGGTGTCAGTGCAATGCAAGGTTGCAAACGCAGCGTGTTTTCCTGCACCGGATGGCACGGTACACACGTACCATCCCATCTAGCTGCATTGCACTACTTTTGATGCAGTGCAGAGCGATTTCAGCCCACTGTACTCAAACCGAGTTCCTGTGCGATTCCTGGTGTGAACTGGCCCTAAAACAAAGCCAGCTAATACAGCCACCACATCTAATAACTGGTAAGCTGCAATATGTTACATTTGTGGTTCTGAATGTAATGCCACTTTAAAGAGCCATCTTTTTTTTTTTTTTTTTTTTTTCCATATAGATCCCCATTTCATGTACGTCTCCTGGAAAGCGTTTTCCTTGTAATGTACACACAGGTTAGAGAACAGATAGATATCTCCTTGTCCATGCTATGCTCTAGTGCTATATCAATTCAAAGCATCCCATAAATCAGGTAGTATTACCCAACAGGGAGGACGGCAGTCGTCACAGAGGAAGTTGTTCTTGTAATGTACACAGGGTAGTAGGAAATGTTACACCAGGCCTTGTAAGCAGCACTTCAATCTGTACTGCCCCACAAACACAACAATCACATTCAACCCGTCATAGTGAAACATCATTCTCCATGCAGGTTTGAATTGGATTAGTAATTGTGGGGCTGACAACACTTGGAAAGTAATGTACGGCTATTCCTGGAATAAACTGTCCTTTTGTAAAACATCTGTATCTCAGGTCGCACATAGTGCTGCTCTGAAATATCTGAAATAATGGGTATCTAAATCAAAAATATATTTTAGTTTTGCATAAAGAGGTGAGGTGTTACTACCCCTGGCAGGTTTATATTGGTGTCAGTGTATTCATTAGGCAGATGCATGCTCTTAATTTGT